TTATTTTAATCTAAACATTTTCCAAACAGTCAATCTTTTGAAATATACACGTATAGTCAATTCTGCTCAACTTGACCATGAAAATATGAGTATAATGTCACGTTAATTATTCTAATTATTCAGATACTTGTTCAATCAGTCTATATTTTTGCCCATCAGTCAGTAATGTTGTTTTCAGTCGGTATCTATCGATCAAGTATCTGTGGAACTAACTATTTGTCGATATTTGTGGGTGATAGTGTTCGAACTAACTATTTGTCGCTATTTGTGGGTGATATTGTTTGAACTAAGTATTTGTCGATATTTGTGTGTGATAGTGTTCGAACTAACTATTTGTCGCTATTTGTGGGTGATATTGTTTGAACTAACTATTAGCCGATATTTGTGGGTAATAGTGTTCGGACTATTTGTCGATATTTGTGGGTGATAGTGTTTAAACTTTCTATTAGTCGGTATCTGTGGGTGATAGGGATCAAACTAACTTTTTGTCGGTATCTGTGGGTGATAGTGTTTTAACTTACTATTTGTCGATATTTGTGGGTGATCGTGTTCAAACTATTTTTTTGTCGATATGTGTTTGTAATAGTGTTCGACCTGACTATTTGTCGATATATGTGGGTAATAATGTTTAAACTAACTATTTGTCGATATTTGTGGATGATAATGTTTAAACTAACTATTTGTCGATATTTGTGGGTGATAGTGTTTAAACTAACTATTTGTCGATATTTGTGGTTGATAGTGTTCGAACTAACTATTTGTCGATATTTGTGGGTGATAATGTTTAAACTAACTATTTGGCTATATTTGTGGGTGATAGTGTTCGAATTAGGTATTTGTCGATATTTGTGGGTGATAATGTTTAAACTAACTATTTGTCGATATTCGTGGGTGATAATGTTTAAACTAAATATTTGGCGATATTTGTGGGTGATAGTGTTCGACCTGACTATTTGTCGATATATGTGGGTGATAATGTATAAACTAACTATTTGTCGATATTTTTGGGTGATAGTGTTTTAACTTACTATTTGTCGATATTTGTGGGTGATAGTGTTCAAACTATTTATTTGTCGATATGTGTTTGTAATAGTGTTCGACCTGACTATTTGTCGATATATGTGGGTGATAATGTTTAAACTAACTAGTTGTCGATATTTGTGGGTAATAATGTATAAACTAACTATTTGTCGATATTTGTGGGTGATAATGTTTAAACTAACTATATGTCGATATTTGTGGTTGATAGTGTTCGAACTAACTATTTGTCCATATTTGTTTGTGATAATGTTTAAATTAACTATTTGGCGATATTTGTGGGTGATAGTGTTCGAATTAGGTATTTGTTGATATTTGTGGGTGATAGTGTTCGAACTAACTATTTGTCGATATTTGTGGGTGATAGTGTTCGAATTAGGTATTTGTTGATATTTGTGGGTGATAGTGTTCGACCTGACTATTTGTCGATATATGTGGGTGATAATGTATAAACTAACTATTTGTCGATATTTGTGGGTGATAATGTTTAAACTAACTATTTGTCGATATTTGTGGGTGATAATGTTTAAACTAATTATTTGTCGATATTTGTGGGTGGTAATGTTTCAACTTACTGTTTGGCAATATTTGTAGGTGATAGTGTTCGAACTAACTATTTGTCGATATGTGTGGGTGATAGTGTTCGAATTAACAATTTGTCGATATTTGTGGTGCTGGTGTTCGAATTAACTATATGTCGATATAAGTTGGTGTTAGTGTTCGAACTAACTATTTGTCGATATATGCGGGTGATTATGTTTAAACTAACTATTTGTCGATATTTGTGGGTAATAATGTTTAAACTAACTATTTGTCGATATTTGTGGGTGTTAATGTTTAAACTAAATATTTGTCGATATGTGTGGATGATAATGTTTTAACTAACTATTTGGCGATATTTGTTGGTGATAGTGTTCGAACTAACTATTTGTCGATATTTGTGGGTGATAATGTTTAAACTAACTATTTGTCGATATTTGTGGGAGATAGTGTTCGAATTAGGTACATTGTATTTGTTGATATTTGTGGGTGATAGTGTTCGAACTAACTATTTGTCGATATTTGTAGGTAATAGTGTTTAAACTTACTATTTGTCGATATTTGTGGGTAATAGTGTTCGGACTATTTGTCGATATTTGTGGGTGATAGTGTTTAAACAAACAATTTGTAGATATTTGTGGGTAAACTACATGTCGATATTTGTGGGTGATAATGTTTAAACTTTCTAATAGTCGGTATTTGTGGGTGATAGTGTTCAAACTAACTTTTTGTCGGTATCTGTGGGTGAAAGTGTTTTAACTTACTATTTGTCGATATTTGTGGGTGATCGTGTTCAAACTTTCTATTAGTCGGTATCTGTGGGTGATGGTGATCAAACTAACTTTTTGTCGGTATCTGTGGGTGATAGTGTTTTAACTTACTATTTGTCGATATTTGTGGGTGATAGTGTTCGAACTAACTATTTGTCGATATTTGTGGGTGATAGTGTTCGAACTAACTATTTGTCGATATTTGTGGGTGATAGTGTTCGAACTAACTATTTGTCGATATTTGTGGGTGATAGTGTTCGAACTAACTATTTGTCGATATCTTTGGATGATACTGTTCGAACTATTTGCCGATATCTGTTGCAACTATCAAGAAATAAGGATTCATCTTGTAATAAGATTTATATTTTTCATAACAAAAATAATTTTCAAAACGGTGTAACTACAGTGTCCAATGTATTTAGATTCTTTATTTAACTTTTATACAACTTCCCATTACTGATTTTTGTAACTGTTCTTTGATGTTGAGTTGAAAGTAAATTATATAAGAAACCATGTCAAGAATGTACATTATACTATGCAATAACATAGTAAGCGAAGTACAAAAAAACACACACGCAATGCTTTATAAATCACCTCCTGTATGAAAGTCAAGATCTCGCCATATCATATCGCACTTTTCAGATATGCCTTATATTCAAACCTAAAAACTGTGAAATTGTAAAGACATTAAATATTTATTAATTAGAACTTCAAAGAGGCCGTCTAGTCAGAAAATGATAACGATACGTAATTAACTGTCAATACACTAATGTAGATATACAAGAAACTTTGAGACTCCGTTGATCCATGTTCGTTTAAGATTACGAGTAAAAGACTAGGTGTCTAGGGGTCACTCAGGGTTGCACAGTAGTTTATCGGTCGGTTAAGTATTGATGGATAGAACCCACATTTAACGAATTCCCCTTTGACCATATTGTTACCCCCTGTTGAGAATAATATGATTCCTTCTTCAGTTTTTATGTCAGTGTCAGTTTGGTTTTGATAGTTCTTCTACTGTGTGTGTATTTCAATAACAAATTTGTTGAAATTTTGCTTAAATCAACTTTGCCATAAATATTTGCGTTTGATACGTTTGCAAAAACAAATGACGGTCCATTTTAAAAAGGTCAACAGCAGTTGTAGTAAATTCTTTCTCAAAAACTGAAAGTTTACAATGAATTTTGTACATTTTTGGATTATCCAAACCGGTAGATTAATTTATCATCCGCTAACTGTTTTTATCCTAAACATAGTGTTAAAAAATAAACATCCAAAACCCTATTTTTCTCAAGTAGTACTGGTAAATTATTAAATAAATTGATTAATAAAGACATTAACTTAAACGTAACATGTCGGTAAAACCGTACTGTGTCAGTGTAAACGTGACATGTCGGTATAACCGCAATGTGTCAGTATTAACGTAACATTTCGGTATAACCGTACCGTGTCAGTGTAAACGTGACATTTCGGTACAACCGTACCTTGTCAGTATAAATGTGATATTTTGGTACAACCGTACTGTGTCAGTGTAAACGTGACATTTCGGTACAACCGTGCCGTGTCGGTGTAAACGTGACATTTCGGTACAACCGTACTGTGTCAGTGTGAACGTGACATTTCGGTATGACCGTACTGTGTCAGTGTAAACGTGACATTTCGGTACAACCGTACTGTGTCAGTGTAAACGTTACATGTAGGTATAACCGTACTGTGTCAGTTTTAGCGTGATATTTCGATACAATAGTACTGTGTCAATATAATGAAGGAATGTCGAAAGTACACTGGTGAAAAACACGAACTTATATCGTGTTTACACCATCGTGGTTTCGTTATTTCGAATAGTAACCATCGTACTTTCGGCTATTCATTATAGAACCTTTGACTTTTCACCATTGTGGTTTCGGTATTTAGTTATTTCGACTTTTCACCATCGTAATTTCATGTTTTCGTTGTTTCGAGTTATGTGTGTGTGGCGATGGCCCTAACGGGACACCGTATAAAACAAAACGAGTCCAACAATTTATATTTTCAACTTTTTCCCTGACTAATTACCTACTATCCTTTCTTTCTTTGTATTTTTTTTCATTCGGTAAATAAATTTAAAAAAAAACAACAGCAAGTTAGTTCAAATATTTAAAATCATAAAAATTTGCAACATATATAAAGTGACAAATCTGAAGAAGAAAAAAAACGCAAATCAAAATAAAACACGTAAAAGGCCTGGACATAAACTTGTCATAAATTGGCGCTCTACTTGAATGATTAGATATGCACGCTACTTCTTATAGTTTGAAAACAATTCACTCATAAAAATACTTCAAACATAAAAAGAAATTTCTTTTGATATTTTTTTAAATAATCAAAGTAGAAGCCTATCAATTTTGATGTAATTTAGACAGAAAAAAGTGACTACAAATTTTTATACACATCCGCGATATACGACACGTGTTATTCTTAAATAAAGGTGGGTTTTCATTACAACATAAACTTGAGTAATATACCTTTTATATTTTAATTCATTGCGAAAAGAAAACTGAAAAATTCTAGTTGGTTAAATGGAGAAATTTGATTGACGTTTTAAAATGATTTTAAAATCCCGCCCCTAAATTTATCAAGTCCATGGGCGGCTTTAAGATTTAACGATAGATATTTGGATAACACAGATTTTATATACAGTAATCGGGAAATGATCACCTGCAATGATTTTGTAGCAAATCATCTCGTGAAATTTTTACAGGGGTTTACTCATACACCGAACATGGGCTGTGGTTAAGTAAAGATAATTATTTTTTTCTACATCTTTAAATGAAATATTAGACATAAAAAAAATGAAAAAAATATATAAATAAAAAATACAGCTATGGAAGTTAATCACGTGCAGGATTTTAAATAGGTATAAAAGGGAGATTGTCTATGTAACTTGGATTATTTGATCTTACTATTTCATGCAGACGACATTTTACTCATAGGCGCACTGTTCTATATCATTTGTACACGGAACAAATTTACTGCATTTATTCTGGTATTTTGTTGGTTTTTGATAGAAAAAATCACAGACGATTACTTCAAAACTATCAATTCTCTTTAAGCCTTAAGAGAATGACTGTTTGATTTTAGAAGTTTAAAGGATACTATCGCTCGAGTTAAAATGTTTTCTGTGTTTGATGCGAAATCCAGCAGTCGGAGCTTGGAGGTGTTCAGATGTAGCGCGTGTGAAAAACGTGCCGTTACTTCACTAGGTTCACAATCACATACTGTGACTCGAGTAGTCTCCAGATCACGTGCAGTTCTTGTTATTATCATATTGGGTGTTATTCATACTTTAACGGTTAAAGTCTCGGCGAGTTCGCATCGAGGCTTAGACATGTGTGAACCCATAGAGATCCCTCTCTGCATGGGTATGCCGTACAACATGACCAGGATGCCGAACCATCTTCACCATAGTACGCAAGAAAACGCGCGGTTGGCTATAGAACCGTACGGTGAACTTTTAAAACAGAACTGCAGTGCGGACTTGTTGTTTTTCTTATGTGCAATGTTTGCGCCGATATGTACACCTCACTTTCAGAAAGCTGCAATACCACCGTGTCGTTCGGTCTGCGAGCGCTCGAAGCGTGGGTGTGAGCCCCTTATGAATAAATATAACTTTTCTTGGCCAGCAGATTTGGATTGTAACCTTCTACCGGAATATGACAAAGGAGTGTGTGTTTCTCCGGAAGCTATAGTGTCTTCTATGCCGACAGGTCAGTTATTGTTTTTTTTATATATTTTATATCAATACTAATAAGTAACTGTTTTTATCTGTGCTAATCTCTGTTCCTATATATTAAGTAAATACAGTATAACCTTAACAAAGCGACTCTCTGCAAAGCAATTACCTCTTTACAACAACAGGTTCAATTCTTGCCCGTCAGATTTTACAATAAACTAATAATTAAATTTAACCTCTCTCAGGAACAACAAAAATATTTCTCTCTCAAAGTCTTAAAATAGTGTAATTATATGTATATACTATGTAGAAGTATGAAACAAAAAGATAAAATTTTCATTCTGTAAGAAAATATAACAGTCTGAAAATTCAAAGGATATCATTTGAAATCTGAATTTAGACTTTTATTTATTAATTCCACTAATATCCAAACAAATTGTGCGCCGGGGCTTTTTTATAGAGACAATGGTCGCCCTATATACAGACCGACATCTATGCAATATCAGTTTGTCAAATCGGTCGGTCTTTGAAATCGAAATATTGTGACTATTCACTGACAGCTAGTATGTTCTTTACTTTTATTAGTTTACTAGCAATTTTATCGCTAAAGACATATAGATAACATTGGATTCTTATAAGTATATTTTACTAGTAAATTAGTAACAATAGATAATGATTTAAGGGCAAAGTTAGTCTAGACGTTAAAGTGCCTGCCTCTCACTCCAAAGCCAATGGGTTCAAACCCTACTGGTGCCACGGTCGTGCTTTCCTATCATGACACCAGTGCTGGCTTGTTCCATGAAGCAGACACTATCTAGACTAGTTCAAACAAACTTTAGCGTTTATCGTTATAGAGGTAACATAAATAGCAATCCACATGTATTTAAACGCTGCAGCAGAACGCCAAAAGCGAGACACTAGTTGAAGTTAACAAGCAGTAAGATATCAACTTCTCACTACTGCTAGCAGTCAGTTTCTAGAATCCTGTATTATAATAATCTAGCGGCTTTACTATAGCACGATAAATGACTCAATTTAATATCATTTTTGGGCTTACCAATGCCTTGTGAATATAAAAAAAACAATTCCGATTGATTAAGCATAAACGAATAAGCAACTGGGCAATGATTTTACCTTTATGTTTCACTTTTGAAGTGTTCTTATGAACTATTAAAGTAGTTCACAACTTTACATCAAATAGCGTATCTCCTTACATATTGCCAAACCTAAAACATTTACATCTCAAAGAGAGATTTCAAAAGACACCGACAAAGTGTGAACTTCTTTGAATCTATCTTTTGTAAATTGGTGATGAAAGAACGCCATCTAAATTTGTGCTGATAAGTATAACAGTTAAAGTTATTTTTGGAGGGAAGTAATAAAATCCATGATTTACATTTCCATTCATAAAACAGATTTTTTTTACTAAATGTGAAACTTTAAATAGTTTTTTATCAGATGAAGATGAGAGCGATGTGAAATTATATCATTAGTAGAATTATTAGACAAGACCTTTGATGTATACTAACGGCTTGGCATTCCAATGGAAACTTTTTTAAACTAAAAGCGGTAAAAATTCCTAAGAAGAACCCATAATATTTACTTGATTTTTTTCGCAAATACATGACGGTCAAACAATGTGTGTTCATTTAAAAAAAAAAACTATGATTGGTCATTCATTTTCGTGATCACTTAAATTCTTAAATTCGTGGGCATGAAATTGCTTGGCTTGTCAAAAAAGATTTTTTATGTGTATTCATAAATTCATGGATTGTTTTTTTTGTGGGAAAAAGTAAAATGCAAATAACATAATAAAAATCATTGTACATCAGACGAAATAAGATTTCAATGAATCTTAAATTCATGGATTGACCTATCTAAGAAAACCACGAAAATTAGAACCCAACGAATAATAATGAGTATGCAGTATTGTTTAAATCAACATAATCAGTTTCTAAACGATCATACATTTCAACCTATAGTTAAGCAGATTACTGAAAAATCGATAATCCAGAAAAAACAAGATAGTAATCTATACCTATAGTCGAAATGTAAATATCATTATTAAAAAAAAAAAAAAAAAAAAAAAAAAACATGTTTTTTTTCTGCATATTCATATATAAAAGACATTTAGTTTTCTGTAGAAATTAATGTATATATTTGCGATAATAAACGAAGATAATGTGTCCATATGAAACCAGTTTCAAAGAAAAGTGATCTTTTTGTTTAAAGTGGGATGCGTTTAATATACTTGACTTTATTTCTTTAATCAGTGTTGAAGAATAAGATAATACGCACCTTCAAAAGCGAGATTCAAACAAATTACTCATTACACGAAACTTTGATGTACCTGGTTTTATTTACCAGCCGTTTTTTGTATGGACGTTAAGACGTTTGTCCTCACTTTTACCTATCAAAACATAACACTGGATGAAACAACTTATTTTCATCACAATCTCTTTACGGCTACTCCTCAAAGGAAAGAACAAAATGAGCGTCGTCACGAGAAAAGGGGGTCTTATTTCTCTAAACTATATCATTTTCATTATTAAGAACAATCTACATTAAAAAATAAATTCTGTCTCTTAGAAATTAAGGAAAAAAGCATCACAAGATATATACAAGCGCTGTAAGATCATAATTGAAATGATTTGTCGCTATTTAAAAAAAAAAAAAAAGTCAATTAGATTTAGGCAACTCTCAGAATTGTAAGGACTTAGCCCTGTGTGGCGCTCATAATTTTGAAGACTTAGCCCAGTGTGGCGCTCAAAATACTGAGGACTTGGCCCACTGTGGCGCTCCATATTGTTAAGACTTAGCCAAGTGTGGATCTGGTCTAGATATAATTTGGATATGGTATATTTCAATCATTACACTTGGCCGTTTTTAAGTTACCTTTGATGCCAATATTGGGTGTAAAACGTAAAAGAACCTCATGATTTGGCTTCAAACACTTGTGGGACGCAAGGGCTCCAAACCATACATAACAAAAAGGTGAGTTAGTTTTAAGGGCGGATCCTCATCAGATATATCAAAGAGGAGAAAGTGAGAAAAAGAAAACCAACAACCCTACTATCGTTTCAGAGAGATACATAATCTGTTTGTCAGTCAAATGAACATTTCGGTTTTCTTTTTCAGAAAACGCCCCAGCTTCTGAAGACGGGAAAACTACTCGCCCGAAACCAAAGAAGGGTAATCGTCTTACAATTTGAAATAAAATAAATTAATCACCTATAAATGTAATTCTTGGAGTTATTTTCACATTAATTTGTAACCAGTTGTTGTTCTCACACTTTCGTTAATATGAAATGTTATATTCTTTTCATTAAACATATCAGTCATTTTTTTGATCTTGTGATGAGGTGATTTATTTTACTATATTTTTTTCTTTTATTCTTTTAGACTGCAAATGTACATCTAGAAATAAACCAACGAAAAAAGCATATAAGAAAGGAAAATATGATTTTGGTAAGTAAATTGTATGTCATTTCACTTCCGGGATATTCATATCCATTTAACACTGTATAAGGGTCCAGGAAAACTTCTTCGGTACATATAATATGTAGGACTGAACTTTAAAGTAAGCACCAGGTGGAAAAACAACAAATTGAGGTAGTAATTTTGCGTATTCAATTCAACCGAAAACTAATTTGAACCGACTTTAGTCTGAAAAAAAGTACAAAGTTTGGTCCCCCGCTGACATTGTGCATTTCTAAGCTTTGTGTTTTTTGTTTTGTATTAAAGGAACTCCTCCGAGACCTAAAATCACAAAATTAGGGCCATAATTTGAGTATGTAGCTGAAAAGGGAAATCTTTATTTCAAAAAGTGACTTTACAAGTATTTATATTATGTAATAGATATTACCCCGGTATAATTACAGTGACAGTTATTTTCATATAAATCATAGTAAAGACAAGCAAACCGCGCTAAATATTTGGTCAAAATAATAAACACCCCTTTATTTTGATACCCTACCCTGTAATTAGAGTAATAAGATAGTGTTATAAGTTATACTAAAATAAGTTAAAAGCTCTTCTTACATGACATGCAATACTAATTTATGATGTCAGTTATACCGAATATTTCCTATTATCAAAGTCTGTAATCTTCAACACACGCGGAGTTTTCTAAACTAGAGAAAATAATAAACGAATAAAAGTCATATTAAAAGATCAGGAACAAAATACAGACTACCTGTAATTAATAAAAGAACTCTTTGTAGTTTAACGCTCAATTTCGGTATATCAAATACGCCTTTTTTCTCTCCCTCGTATTCAAATCTCACAGGTGACAAAGAAGTTTCGTTTTCGTCTTGTTGTTTTTTTCCGAGGCGAATTTGGCAATAGTTGGACTTGTACACTTTGCACTTTTTTCTTCTCTAAGCTTTCATGGTTTCTTTAGTTCAATTTATTATTATTAGGTAATTTCTCAAACGATAGCACCACTGGCAAAACAAACATTTTATTCAAATTAAAATGAGGACTTTTGTGCGTCACAATGCGCTATTAGAGTGTCTTTGGTCTCTTTCATCCCATACCTCTAACATTTGTTTCCTAAGTTTTATTCAGCGCACACTTACCTGAATGACCATTAGTTTTCTGGAAAAAAATAAGTTGAATGTCGTTCATTTATAAAAATATTTGTATATTTTCTTTTGGACACGAAACTCACTCATTGGTCTTAATGTTATAGTCCGGAATTTGAACGCGTTTCAAATATTTTTTTTTTACCTCTATTTCAAGCTCAATAGTACGAGCGTTGGACATAAAATTGGGCGACCAAGTCACATCCGTTGTGATTAATCATCGCCACTGAAATCCTTTCTACGCACTGTACCTCTTAAGTTATCAGTTCCTAGCGAAAATGAACTGGTAAACCGCTTCACAGCTTGCCCAGGAACGTTGCTGTGGCTGAACTGTGCTCTGGAAAATTCAATGCGGCTTACTGCCGTGATAAAGAGTGTCAATTTAAAGTCCGTTGAAATGTTCTTTCCGTCAATACGCGGACCTTGGAGTTGAATATGGTTCAATATCAATACAACATATTTCTTTTCGTTGTCATCTATAAATGAATATGAATTTACAAAATATTAAGTTAGCCTAATTTATTTACAGCAATCGGATGTATGGTAAAACGTATAACAACTATAGATGAGAACAACACGGTCATACTGGTTGTAGTGGACAAGATCTTGCAGCGTGGTAAAGTACATCTACAGGAAAGGCGGGAAATAGACTTGTGGGCGGACTCTCAGTGTGTGTGTCCAGCTTTAAAAGTGAACAGACAATATCTTATTATCGGTGAAGAAGAAGTTTTATTAAATAGACTGAAGTTCAGTGATCATAGTCTGGTTACACGATGGAAACAAAAATGGGAGAAAAAATTCAAAGTAAGTTTGTCGATCGGTTTCTTTTCCTGTAAATAAGAAAAGAAGAATAACAATTGTTTATCCTGCATCAATAGGTCACTGAATTATAAATCAAGATTTTCTATCGTGTACTATAATAGTATGCAGAATTGTATTTGCGATTGCCCAACTTTGAAATTGAAAAAATGCATTCAAAAGTTTTAGGAACTTCACAGTTCAAATATGGGGCTGTACAGGGTGACCTGGCTCTACGTTGGTGGCAAAGGGAAGTCAGTGGGTCCCAGAAGGGTTAACACTTACTAAAACTATTTAAAATATCAATTTTGGGTAAAATAAAAATTAAATTATACATAACCGTTTAAAGGACATAGAAAACGTGTAATTTAGTTCACTTACTTCATCAAAGCTGCACCTCTTGCTTAGTTGCGCCGTTTTTCAATTTCAGAGATGGTCCAACACCAAGTCAAAAAAGAGAAAGAAGGGCAAGAACCGTAAAAACACACGATGTAAGAAGGGAAAATGCCGAAAAAATAATTCCAAAGAGAAAGTTCGCTGTAGGGTTGAACAAAAAGGCGAATCTTCTATGAGAATGAAATGTGTACGGACAGAAGAAGAACCTACGGATGATAAACTGGAAAATTCATCAAAAAGAAGAAGGAAGAATAAAGACAGACGGAAGAATAAAGGGTACGTATGCTTGAATTACAAATTTGGTAAGAAATATGTGCAAGTCTAACTGAGCCTTTAAAGGGACTCCACCGGGGTTATTCGACATGACGGGGCTGAAATCAATTTTTCGAGATTAATATACAATTTGATGTAAACTGTAGACCCATAACTTGGGTGCAAAATTTCAGATAAATAGCTTACTCTGTTTTTTCCAGAATAATTATTCTTATTGTGAAAATGACCCAAAAGGGAAAAGCGTGACAACGCTTTTCACTCAAATCATCTTTTGCATATCTTTCTGTTTTAAATGCCCCATTTCGTCTATGTTTTGTGTGTTTTTAGGCTTTTGGACCTCAGTGGAGTTCCCAAATAAACACACACGAGCTGACGGATTCTTCACAAGTAATTTACCCTTACCATCCTTTATATCATAAATGGACTTGCCCATCTTTCATTTTGGACTAAACCATTCTTTAAATTTAGGGAAAATTTAAAAATACATATTAACTGAAAGGCGAACAGTGCGGGTCATGATCAGCCGGCACGCACAGTTGTGCCGGCAGATTTTGGTCTGAACTGGTAGCATGGGAAGATTTAGATGCTGTAAGCAAAGCAGACTAGCGGTTTAAACCGTCACCTTTGTTTAAGACATTTTACAAGATCTAATGTCTTCAATTTCAGATTTACTGTAAAGTTAAATATAAATATGCATGTATGTACTTTCTCTAAACTATTTTTCTTCTTTCATTTTTCAGAAAGAATAATCCAAACAGTACTGGTAAATGAAAACTGTGCGTTTTCTGAAATAGTCATCTTGCTCATTGAACACGTGAAATTCGTGCATTTTATATAATGTTACATGAATAAAGACCGTTAAACGCCGTGCCTAAACGGATATATTTAACTGCGTCACGTGAAAATAACACTCCGTCAGTTTGTGATAGTTTGACGTCACTTAACGTCACGTGTTGAAACAAAGTTACATGTTGCAGAGTGTATAAATGTATCAACTAAACTGTTGACAGAGAGGATGGAAACTTTTAACTGTGATTAAATGTATTTATTTTATAGAAAATGTTCCAAGTGTGTTTCCTAGAACAGAAACTATATGTAATAAGTTTCTAGTTAAAGGACATGGAAACTTGCTGAATATATTTAGGAATGCAAGCATCATACTAAAATCATCGTCTTCCATAACGATACATGTACATTTTTAAAAATGATTTCAATCAAATTTAGTCTTAGATTACTCCATTTAAGTTAATCTCATTTAAACTTAATATATTATTGAATTAATTTAGTAAAGTTATGGTTAACATTTTTTTATGGTTGACACTTTTTTTAACATTGAAAACATTTACCAGGCACTTTTCATGCTATACTTGTATATGGATTTGAGTGAATCCGGGTCAACTCGATCTAAAAACTAACCCGGTCATGGGTCATCTCGGCCCTATGCCAACTCGACCCATATTATGGACTACTTTTATAACTTTTTATATATTTTCATCATAACTTTCATTGTTTAACATTTTCGCGTTTAAACTGAATATACTAATATTTAAAAAAATTCTTGTTGTACTTTATTGTATATTTATTTACGCCTTAAAATTTTTATCAATTAAACAATCTATATTCTAATAGGTTTTTATTGTAAGGTCGAGTTGACCTGTGCCGAGTTGGTATAGGGCCGAGTTGACTCTTTTCCAATTTGAATGGCGCCATATTTGAAAATTCTGTTGTAAATGCGTGGGTTTTATAATCAGTCCATAAATTAAGCAGTCTACAGTATATAGAGTCAGGTCGATAAGTGTAGACTGATCTGGTCCTATACAGGCGGAATAGAAAAATCATTATTACCATTGGCTTTCAAGTAGTTGACAGTTGATCTTTTGCCACCAATATAGAGCCAGGTCAGTTTACCATTGCAGTGAGATCACGGGCTATACTGCTGGTAGCCTTTTTCTTAACCTGCTGTAACTGAGTGGCCTAGTGGTTAAGCTGTCTGCCTCTCAACCAAGGGATCATGGATTCGAGCCCTAATCAGATCACGACAATGTTTCTTCATATGACACCAGTACTGGTTGGTTCCAGGAAGTGGACTAGAAAGTGATAAATATAAGTTGCAAGAATTTGTTTCACAATCGAGCTTAAATAAATATGTTTACACTAAGTGATTCGCCTTTGCCACCAAGAGAGCCAGGCCAGCCTGCATATCTATAGTCTGACCACACTTTATACTGCTGGTAGCTCATTATTTTTGTATGTTTCATTACACAAATTCAGAAGGTTAAAGATTAATAAATGGTAGAAGATAGGGACTTAAGAAGACATCGACGTATGTATGCATTTACATGAAGTATAGTGAACCATGTATAAAAACATTTTAGAAAATAAAACAGATATAAATGAGCTTTAGTTGAAATTATATTATTCCCTGATGTTTGGTATGTGTACTCACAAAAGTACTTTAGTACCCTTTTACAGGTCTAGAAATTTGATTTTATTAAAACACAGCTTTTTGCTTAAACAAAAACAAAAATGTTTACATTAGTTTATCATTAGATATATATTTGAACATTCAGCCATTCAGACGGTTTTACTTTACTAAAGTAAGTCCGATTTTCTCCCCAAGAAACATTCTATTTATGGTCTAATTCTTGAAGATCAGTACCTTTCTGTCAAGGTCATATTACAATGTTAAAGTTCTTATCAAAAAGTATGCTGTGTTCAAGTAAATACTCTACTCACAATGTACATAACAGAAATTTTATGACTTAAGTTAAAGTTTTATCCTGGCAAAGAGACATGACAAAAGCAACATGCCCTATGATCTTTAAACTACCTATCAGTAATAAGGCCGACAGAACAAAATGATGACAAGCAAGAAGAAATTAAATAAAAAGACAGCACATACTTTATTCTTTCATAAAGATTATTTGATTGCACTTTTACATTTATAACACATGTGTCTGGTCAAAGGGACACAACTTACAAAAAAACAATAAGCAGAATAATGAAGTCAGCCTTCCTTTTCTTGCAATCTCAATTATTTGTCATGAATGAGATAAACAAAACCAAATAACATAGCTTGCCTAAAATATATGTTACAGTAGTCTCAGTAAATTATATAAACGTTAACTACACATAATAATTTATGTATAGTGTCTATAATCATATTGCTAACATGTTCATTGAGTATATTTAAAATCATTACAAAAATGTGAAAATAAAAAATTATTAAACAAGAAAGAAAGTCAGATTTAATTTGGCTAGTAAATTTTTAACAAAAGAATTTTACAAGTTCTGACAAAGTGTAAAAATATCTACATAATATGAATGTTATTTTTGCTGTTCATATTAAAGTTAAAAGCTACATTTGATTTTGACATACATTTGTATATATCTACATGTATGTATCTCCCTATAACATCTGCTATTACAAACACTGACCAAGGCAAATACCCTATAAAGAACTAACCAGTAGTATCAAAAAAAAACAACATAACATTGATTATAAGGAAAGTGACAAATTAGCCCAGTTCTTAAGGTTATAAAGAAATTCTCTTTAGCTCAAACTCAGATCTTAGGTATTTGATTGGTCAGAAACTGCCACAGAGTGTACACTGACCAATGAAAATCATGAGATTTAAGACAGAACTCAGAAAAAATGTTTATATAACATCAAGGTGAGACCTCTCTTTTATGATGGCATGTCCCTCATTCATTACTCAACACAATGTTTGTCAGTTGTTGAATTAGTTTTCAGTTATCTATGTATGAAAACTGTCAGCCATAAAAAAGGCAACAGTATTTAAGCTGTAAAAATATTCTTGCTTCAAAGCACTTCTCACAACCTGATTTGTTCACAAGAAGTCCAGCAAGTAATCTGGAATTTACTTGACTGAAATTTATAAATAAAACCATGTGTAAAAAACTCATTAAAAAAGCACTGAAACTATTTCTGTGATAAAGATGGCGCTGTGTATTCCTGTAATTCTTCAAAATGTCTTTTCTTTGATAAAAGTTCCAGTTCAAATTTGTCCATTCCTTGTTCTAAATTGCCTTTTTCTTGTATTCTAACATTTGTTGTGTTTGCCTAAAATAATAAAAAAATCAAATAATGAATACATGAAATCTAAAAATAAGGTTGAATAATGCAGGAAATGATGAAAACTAATATTGGAAGAAGAATTAATCCAGTACAAATCAATTTACAATACATATCCTTAAAGATGGATGCTTTCCAAACCAGCAAATTCATCAAAGTGTAAAATTCTAATTTTGGCATTGGTGATCTTTACCAATGACTTCAAACTTCATCTAAAGTTACAGGACCACCCAAGGTTTATACCTACTAAATATGTGAGTTTAATAAGGGTCAACTTTGACAGAATCATGGAAGGATGAAGAGGTGAGCATAAAAATATTTGTACTGGCAATCACAGTTCTTATCTCAAAGCCAGCCTGCCTAGCTCAACCAGTTAGAGCACAAGACATTTTGGTCCGATTCCCGGGCCGGCCAACTAAAATTACTAAAACAGTCTTTGGATAGGTCCTATGTATGAGTGGGTAAACACTAGGCACAATAAAGAACCATAAGAAGCTTCTATGATGGGGCATCTGTCTGTATCTGTATCTTGCACTATTCTCCAAAAATCTAAAATGACATACTCTTCTGTAGGACTCGCCGATATGGACAACCAGTGGCGAGTATAAATAAACTGAAATACACAATCTGATCTCAATTGTGTACAATTACTTTACAATCAGTTTTTTATTTCTTGTTCTTTTCATTACTCATGTATAGATTTTATCATTCTATAACAGAAGCTTTAACAAAATTGAAAATAAACTCTTACCAACATGAGTGATGCTAAAAATGTCCGACAAATCTCAAAGACAGGTTTTCCCTGAACGAGTCTCTGGAATTTTATTACATTTCCTTTATCTAAATTGTCTATGACAGAGGAGCCGTATGTATTAATATCAAAAGGTTGATGAGTTTCCTCTTCCTGTAGCCGTGGTAACACTTTGTCTTCCCATTCCGACACTCGCCTCGATAATTCTGTAATCTGCGCGTACTCCTGAGCACTTTCCATGTATTCTTCCTAAAATAGAAAATATGTTAATATGAACTACTAGTATAGTCTGCAACTAATTCAATATATATCAATTACAGTAGTAAGTTTATTTGTTTCGTCTGGCTTTGATGCCAATTTCAATACAGTTTTTCGTCATCTCAGTCGTCAGTCCACCTAGCCAGCTTTCCTGGATAACTAACTATTATCACTTATTTCTCCACAAATGACTGACTACTTATTGTCAAATTTCGCCTTGACCGTATAATAAACATGCTTTGAATTTGAAACTTTTAACTAACAGCTTTTAGGGATGTCGTAATTAAAATAATACTATTGATCAACAAACAGTGCTATCAACATCAGACTACAGACAGATATGCATAGGCGAGGAATGATCATGGCAAGCAAACAAAGGCATATTAAATATTGGCCAACACGTACTTGTAGCATGTCATTTTCAAACAAGATTGATTATATTGACTTAACCTAAACAAGTCAATGAATGGAACAATAATATATTTATCATTTTAGGCATTTAAACAAATGTTACATATTATATTATTCATATAGTCATGTCACACTACAATATGTTAGGTAGTAAGAACTTTGTGTTTACAATATCGTTGATGTAAAAGTACATCTTAATTTCCCTTCCTATAATTTCTTATTCAATGTGAAACAAGACTGTTAAATAGATAGGTGGATGGCCAGAGGCATAAAATGAAACCTGCTTTAGGACATAAAATATAAGTTTAAACTTCTTTATGTAACTTAGTTTGTTTTGTTGGGATCTAAGTCACAATGACACTTTAAAGGTCATCTGGTGAATTTCCAGTTTAACTGTTTGAAGAAGACTTCAGATGCCCCTTTATGCATTATTTCAGACACTAGTGGGCACCCGAGAAGAACCATTGATGTTCTGTAAGCTAGCTGGATAGCTTCCTGACATGAAAGAATCTAAAAGCCTGTCGAGGTTCGAAGTCACTCAGCCACCGACACCCCTATATATCTAAAAAACAAGACAAAATTTGTAAGAACAACTATTTCAGTTTTGATAATAACTTACCACATATTTACGGACAAGATCTTCGTAACTGTTTACAATGATGCCCTCATCTATCGTCTCTGAAATACAGAACATCGTGGTTCTCACAAAATACTTAATAATTTTAACAATCATTACAAATAAACTCCTACATGTATATGTTACAGGGAAAGTGTGTAATCAAGGATTACATGTAATCCCTGAAACTTTGAGGAATTCATAAAATCCTCAAATGTGTTAGGGAATCGAGTTATTCCTAAAATTTGCTAGCGATTCAATGATAATACACTGGCCATGTTAACAAATACATGCAAAAAAATCTAAGACTTGTGTTTTCAAATCTAAAAAAGTATTTTCAATTTGGTCCAAGAATGGATGAACAAACAAACTGAGAAATAATACAGCTTTAATTATGGCTGTGGAAATATTGATCTTGCATTCAAGCTCAAATGAAACATACGAAATTTTTCTCAACCAAACCTACAATAAAGCAAAGCTGTTAATCATATGGTCAAATCAATTATTCTCTGACAGAGCTTTTTAGTAAAACAAGAACCTTGATGTAGGATATTTTTGTGATATGTAAAGGAAATACTTCAGTGAAAATTACTACCATTGTTATGGTTCTTAAGCAGTAATGTACAATTATATTCCAATAGATATTTTTGTGAGGTTTCAAGAGACTCACAGGCTGGTAGGATAGCACCACATTCTATTTAGTAGTGTAGCTAAAAATATCAGACTATTTTCAACAATTTTATACAACTCACCTGCCCACGTTTTATGCTGTTGATCATTCATATATGTTTCATTACTCCTTACAGCATTGTCTATAGCGTTGAATAAATTATCATCAACCAAATCATCTATATCGTCATCATTATCATCATTATCTCCAGCATCTATAAAATATACATCATGTAACTACAAGCTTTTACCAGCCACCTTTCTTATAATTTCTTACAACAGAGGCATATGGATGGCACAAACATGATAGTTTCTCTTTCTGCCAGTATCATCTTTTACCAAAATAATATTATTTGCAAGAAAGAATATGTAAAAACAAATAGAAAAAGAAGTAATTACAAGTTAGAATAGTGTTCACTTATTGGAGGGTATAATGTGTAAGCAGCCCAGTAACTGAAACTGAAAATGATTAGCCTTTGCAATTGCACAGTCAGACCAGGTTCTACACCGTTGAGACCTTAATTTTTACACTTTGATTTTGATTAAGAAATCCCTTAAGCTTTACGTGGACTGTTCCAAATAATTTAAATTTAATTTAAATCTGGGCAAATCCATTACCTTAATCACTTTATCAATTTTTTTTTTTTGGTTATAAAATACCTTGTAAAGGTAAATCCTCCACACCTTCGTCTTCTTCTTCTACCATATTGTCTATAACAGCTTCTTCTCTTCTCTGTAACAATAAATAAATCCCAGAAATCTTAAAGTAACCTTCTCTCTAATGTCGAAGTAGAAAAAAAAAATCCAACCACAACAGAAAAAGTACATACAAGTTACATCATCAACTTCAGATATTGATCTTATCTTATGATTGTCAGATTGTTCATTCAAATACATCATCTAATTCTGTTGATCAAATACTATAGAAATGCTCGTCCATGCAGTGTGACACCAAACTTTATACTGTTGTCTGCACTATTTTCCATTATATTTACAAGTGACAGCAGTTTAGGTCCATCATACGCATTTTACCATGCAAAGGGGATGTAAAATTCAAATGTTTTTGTTTTTTGTATTATTTTTTATGGTATTTGGTTTCAAGTCATATCAACATTGTTCATGGATGTATGGCTATTTTCCAGGTTTACAAGTGAAGGAAGACCTCTAGTTCCACTTTCTTGCATTATTAAAAACACAAGGAGACAACCTAGTCAATCTGCCATTCTACAGTAAGCTAGCTGGATAGCTTCATCACATAAAACAATACAAACTCCCTTACAGGATTCATACTCACAACAGTGAGAGCTGGAGGGGCAAATGATTTGAACCTAGCAACCTTAATAGCACTTTCATGGAGGCCCAAGTTTTAAAAGTAACACAAGCAACTAATTTTGAAACTAAAGACACATAAAATACACATCACTCATATAATTATACCGCAAAATAACAACTATAAGTAAAATATAACAGAATATAACCTTCTTTTGTTGTTCTCTTTGAATGGTTTGCCTCCTTTTAAACTCTTCCCAATACTGTCTTTCAAAATCCGGAAAAGTTGGCACTTTCAGCTGATTCTTGGGAAACTTATGTGCAGGGGAATACACTGAAATATCATTTGATTAATCAGAATTTTATCAAATAGGAGTATGCCATTTGTCACAAAATATGCCCGTCACAAAAGCTACAGATATCAGACATTGTTTGGACTGTCTTGTGAATCATCCACTGCTGAAATTATATTGCATTGATATGTGTAGCTTACATTGATGATATCAGGTGATACATATGTGTAATAACTAGTAGGTTATATACATCTTAGTCTGGTAATTTGCACAAAAACCAACTTCTAATGGCATCAAATTAAGCAACAACAATATAAATATCTTTGTTTTGTTGGTTTAAAGTCACACCTACACAGTATAGGTCATATACCAACTTTCCAGCTTTGGAAGAAGACATGAGGTGCCAATCTGGCATTATTTCAGGCACGAATGGGAACCCGAGTAGAACCATCGAAATTCCTTAAGCTAGTCAGGTGACTTCCTAACATGAAATTCCAAAGTTCCTATCGGGAATCGAACCCACAGCGGTAAGGGACAAGTGGTCTGAAGTCAACAACCTGAACCACTAGGCAACAACAATATACATATATACAGGTATCATTTGGATCAAATCAAAAGATAATTCTAATTCAAAATATAGATTATCTTTTAAAAGCACTCTTCAAGAGATAAGCTGTTAAAAAGAGTCCCTACAAATTTATGCCAATCTGGAATATCAAATGAAAACATAATTACGTATAATGAAATAATTTTGATGTCATCTTTTTTTACTTACAAACTCTTTTAATATATTTTGACAGTATCTCTTCTGGAAGTTGTTTATTTTTAGATCTCTTCCTTTTCTTTGATTTGTCTTCAATTCCTGGGCACATTTTGTAAATTGTACCTAAATAAATTAAACACACATATATATAAAGATTATAAAATTATCATATATTAATATAAAAATCTGATTTAGAACTTTCAATCTATTGGTTAAAGGACATTGAGATCAAATGATTCAATTTATTCAGACGGTTAATACACATCCAGTTGAATAAAGTGTGACCAATAAAAAAAGAGAAAATAAGGAATAAACTAAAAATAAAAATATCACTTACTTAAATGTGACTTATTAAATGTGCCGAAATTATTTCTGAATTTTGTATACATGTAATTTTTTTTCAATTTGTTTTCAGCTATTGCTAAACCACAACTGAAATAATGTAAATGTTTTTTGGTTTTTGTTTAAACTTTTATGTCTGTGTAAACTTTGTTTAAGATTTTTTAATTACCATTATTATTATCATTAAGGATTACAGTAACCAAGGTAACTCTCACCTTTTTTAGACACAGGCTTCACTTTACCTGTTTCTTCATGAGGATCTAAATATTTCCATGGATCTATATTCTAAATGAAAAAACCCCAAAAAAACAACATTAAAAGGCAGAAACCTAATCTACAAGGCCAAAGCTCCTCTAAATAGTGCAATTAAAATTCACGTAACAAGCGTTATAACTTCTAGGCATTAATTACTTTTAATTAATCAAATGTAATTAAACAACCATTATAAAAAGAATCATGATACTTCATAAATAAGATTGTTAAGTTTTCCTTTGCATACTTCACTATACACTTACTGGTTTGTTATTCAAAGTTATTGGCTTTTTCCCTTTGTTTCTTTCTGATCTTCTCAAACCATCTTGACCAACATCCTGCAAAAAATATGTATTGTTTTATATATCCATTCCATAAAGCTAAAGCTCCCAGGCTAATTCATTTTATACCATCTAGTTAGCATAATACTGGAAAACTATCTGATGATAGTAAAAGACATTTCTATAATTTTGATATAGAAATCCCTACTACTGAACTGTTCCAAATTCAGACCCGGGAAAATCTATTATAAAATTCATTATGAAAATGGTCAATAGCCAAACTTTTGTTTAAACAATTTGACCATTATTTCAACATTGCTGAGCTAATTTAAGTAAGCGACATGAAATATTATGGAATAAACATGCCAGGTCTGGGAAAAAGAATCCAGGAACATTGGTTATGTTCAACTAGATCTCTGGGACTGAGGTACTATCTGTGTAACACTTAACAAATCATTTAAAGTCTTGCAATACAGACTTGTCAATACAACTGTTGTATTAAAAGCTTTATCTGTACAACACTTAAATCCACTGCCAGGAAGTAACAAGACATTGGAGGTTATAAAACTTTTTTTCTGAGCACTGGCTCAAGTCTCAGGAATTTTATTGCTCAGTGTATATTCTTCCATTTCTTAATAACCTCGGACCTAGTACTGTTGTGTGAAATGAGGAAAACTTGTTCATGATTCAAATAAGGTTGAACCAACAACACCTGTGTTAAGAGGTAGACGCCTATACAACAAGGCAACCTTTCCCTTAAAATATAGTATTGTAGCATTCAATTTTGCAAGATGAATGAAAAGTATATTATAATCACACCCAAGTTCAAACTATAAAAGATTTGAAATAAGAAATGCCTATTTTAGCATATCAGCAGAAAAAAGCAACAAACCACATGCTCTGTTTCCATTGGTTGATTAACTGAAGTGTCAGCCAATGGGAGATCTCCATCTGCTTCATCTGCCATATTGTCATCGTCATGGTAACTATCTCCACCTGATAAATATTTATTTTGTAAAACATAATTTTTTTCAAATTTTTCATCAGCTACAGCATACAAATGTTTAAAGTATTTAATTTCATATATATAGTGCCATGACTTATATTTCCATCCTGTAGTTTTAAATTCTGTAACATGATATACATCAAATATTTGGTCAAAGTGTTCTGAATAAACAGAAACCCTTTTTAAGTTTTATTCAGTTTCAAGGCTATAAAATCCTCATGCTTTATTTGCCATCTTAACCTATCTATCTCAAATTTGTTTTTAGTGTTTTTGTTTTGTTTTTTTTTGGTTGAATCTTAAGAAGCACAAACACTGTAAAAGTCAACAGCTTTACTGGTGGAGGAAGACCTCAGGTGCCCCTCTGTGCATTATTTTAGCCAAAAACAGGAATCTAAGTAGAACCACTGAAATCCCGTAAGTCAGCTGGATAGCTTCCTAACATGAAGTAAATACAAAGTCCCAGGTGGGATATGTTACAGCACAAATATTAGATTTTGAGTAAAGTTATAACAAAGAGTTGGGATAAGAGAACAGGTGGAGAAGGTGAGTGCAGAAAAAAAGCGGAAATGTCAGTGTGACTGTATAATATCTAATGATAACATTACCTGGGAGATTATGCATACTGTTTTCTGCTACAGGTTCATTTGTTGTAACTTCTCCATCTTTATCATTAGGCTGGTCTCCTGCAAAACAAAAAGAGTTTAAAACTCACTACTTGTACACCTTTTAACTTGAATTTCTTCAATAGACTGGTCCAGTTTCCAATTTTGGAACTGTCCATTATCAATTTTGGGGACATCAAGATGAAAATTTAGTGCATCAACTTCAAGACTTACAAAACTGTTATCAAAAATATTAACAGTATAGAGGGAAGTCAGACTGACCGAATGTTCAGATTCACCTGGTTCTATACTGGTGAGATAGACAAATCATCAATGCTGAAAGCCTTAAAGGGATTAAAGTACCCTTATTCTTGATAACTCTAAAACTGTATTGCTAACAAATGTTTTACTCAATTTCAGTGGGGCAAAAAGATGTTATACAATCAAACTTTGTTTGCAATTTGAGAAATTGGTAGTATGAGCCAACCGAACGGTGAGTTTGAGCCAAGGTAGGTTATTTCAGTGACCCAAGTTCGAAAGAACAAAGTTTAACTGAAAAATCTAACCAAAATTCATTAACAAAAAAAAAATCCAAAAAAATCCACTTTTCAAGTACTAATTTATAAACAGAGGCACATATATAAAGTTGAAAGAAATATCTACTAATCAGGATATTTATTTCAAGTACAATACAATTTTTACAAATCAATTTCTTTAAAAAGAGGCAAAACAATTTACCTCGATTACATTCAGACATCTCAGCAAGTGTTTTTAGGGCCTGTTCATGTAAACTCACATGAGAGAGATCCAGGAGTAGTGTCCCTTGGCTGTGCATATAACATGTATTCATCTTGAAGTCATTGCGACTGGCCAACACTTCACCTGTTTTACTGAAATGTAAAATACTTTGTGATAGTAAACAAACTAATTATTCAAAGTAAGGCATTAAGTATCATTAAGAATTATGAGAATATTAGGTTTCTAAAAAATTTAAGCATTTTTGAAACACTGAAATATTCTTCTTATGTAGTGATGATCTTTAACACTAAACAGCCAAATTTTTATCATGCATTCATTCTGTTATAAACAAAATAATGCAAGGGAACTAATCTATGTGCTTAGTTGACTACTAACCTGAGTAATGGATTTTCTCCCTTGTCTCCCTCGTCTAATGGTAACAAACATAATGGCATTTCTGATAATAACTTGAATTCCTTAAATGTTCATGAAAAAATATACTTATTTTCATGTAAAAGTAAAAAAACAATGTAATCAGCAAAGCAAAATAGTTGTAGATAAACTCCATATAACACCAATCTGGCTTACTTCATATAACACCTATCTGGTTTGCTTCATATAACACACATCTGGTTTACTTCATATAACAGCCTGGTTTACATAATAAAACACACACCTGGTTTACTTAGATAAACTCCCATCTGGTTTACCATATATAACACACGCCTGGCTTACTTCATATAACACCCATCTGTTTTACTTCATATAACACTCATCTGGTTTACTTCATATAACACCCATCTGGCTTACTTCACATAACACCCATCTGGTTTACTTCACATAACACACATCTGGTTTACTTCATATAACATCCATCTGGTTTAGTTCATATAACACCCATCTGGTTTAGTTCATATAACACCCATCTGGCTTACTTCACATAACACCCATCTGGTTTACTTCACATAACACACATCTGGTTTACTTCATATAACACCAATCTGGCTTACTTCATATAACACCTATCTGGTTTACTTCATATAACACCCATCTGGTTTAGTTCATATAACACCCATCTGTGTGTTTAGTTCATATAACACATATCTGGTTTAGTTCATATAACACACATAAAATTTAGCTTACTTTATATAACACCCATATGGTTTACTTCATATAACACCCATCTGGTTTAGTTCATATAACACATATCTGGTTTAGTTCATATAACACACATAAAATTTGGCTTACTTTATATAACACCCATATGGTTTACTTTATATAACACCCATATGGTTTACTTCATATAACACCCACCTGGCTTACTTCACATAAAACCCGCCTAGTTTACTTCATATAACACCCACCTGGCTTACTTCACATAAAACCCACCTAGTTTACTTCATACAACACCCACCTGGCTTACTTCACATAAAACCCACCTAGTTTACTTCATATAATACCCATCTGGTTTACTTCATATAATACCCACCGGGTTTACCTTATATAACACCCAACTGGTTTACTTCATATAACAGCAACATATCCAGCTTTATACCCTTTAAATATAACATTTACCAGATTTACATCTTACAACATTTGTCTTGTTTACTTTATATTACACTCACCTGGCTTACATCATTTAACTAACATACACCAGGCTTACTTCATTAACACTTACCTCCCCTTCATCACATTCATCATCAGGATTGTTGGACTCTTTGATATCATCTAAAGTAAGAAACTGTTCTTCTGTTTTATCATCAGAATCATCAACATCTTCATCATTTCCATCATCATCAACAGATGACTTTTTGTTCCTTTTACTATAACATATAAAGAAAATGATCCAGTATGTAGTTAAAATACTATTTTTGTAAAAACACACTATTAAAACAGAGCCCAAATATTTGAATTTCACCCTTATCACCATAGATATCTAAAAAGACTTTTCCATCTTCAATCTGGACATGAGCATTGATAAGTAAGGGACAATAGGGGAGCGGTGGCCTAGTGGTTAAGGTGTCTGCCTCTCAACCCAGGGGTCACAACCATGTTTCTTCATATGACCTAAGTGTTTCATATAAGTTGTAAGAACTTCTTTTGCAATCAAGCTTAAATAAAGTTAAATAAATATGTTTAAACCAGAGAAAATATTTAAGTAATGTGAATGAATAGCTAACAGTGCAAACCATGCTGATCCTATGACACTGTTGAAAATTTGGTTGCTGCCAGCAGGCTTTGATTAAAGGTCCAAAACATATACAAGATCTTTACACAGCAATGTTTCCAAAATCACATTTGATAAAATTAGTCATAGTCAATCGTTGAAATAGAAGATCAATTTTGACCGTGATATAATAACTTACTTCTTGTCAGCAAGCATTTCAAGCACCTGATGTACAAGATGGTAAAAGTGCTCAACTTTCTTGCTGTAAATACACGCTGAACTTTGAACCAGTAATGCTGCCTGTGCAAAATTCATTGTTGTTACGCCCCCATCAAATGATATTGTCATATGCTCCAACTGTTATTTATAAAAAAGATATTTAAATATTTTGTTGTGAATGTTTTGTAGTATAATTTTAACTATCATGAAACTGTGTAGATTTAAAACCTGTTATCTCTTCACATGTCATAATGAATATAGATCTATTGGGAAGCACTTCCAATGCTTCTTGCACTTATCTTCAGCTGATATAAAAAAAAACTGATACAAGATAATTACATTAGTTTGAAACTTTTGGCGCCATGATTTTTGTACAAGCTGCGTGTGTTGCATTTTTAAAAAAAGCAGTGTTAAAATAATTTCTTTTGACAAAAATTCTATGCTAAAAAGGGGCATAACACCAAAAATAACTTTAAGAATTATGCCACTTGTCTAAAAACTGCAACTTGTTAAGATTATCAGCATGACAAGCTTTCCAAGTTTGATGTTGAAATTTAAATATTTGAATAATGGGCTACATTAAAGTTTTTGCATGACAATGATGCAAAAGTTATAATAAAATAGCCCAAACAGACAAGCTAAAAATAGGAGAACAAAAAGGTCACCACTAGCAACTTATGACTACATAAACATGGCAATGTGAACTACTTGAAAAGTTTAGTAATGCAAGGTTTACGAAGGAAAACTGACTTCTTCCAGATAGTCTTCCAAATAGGCTGCAATATCAACATCCCAATTCTTGGTGAGGTCCTTGATTGGTTGTAGAATATGTGCATAGCGAGCCTCCAATCCATCAAGCTGACTTGATGAGACCACCATCTTGAAACTGAAAAACAATGGTCATTGCATTAATATATAATATCACATAGTCATATACTTTATTATACACAGTGATTCTTTTGCTTTAATAGACCTGAAAAAAGGGCTTTCCCATTTGCTGAAACTGTTGAAAATTTCCATTTTAATAATTTCTGAGTAAATATACTGAGGTAGGTAATTTGGTAAAAAAGTTGATAGGTAAAAAAGTTGATATTTTCAAGCAACAGTCAAAAGTGCCTTTTACTGTCTTTGTCTACATTTTAAGTATTTTCTTTTGTGCATTGATTCTTTTCTATTTATTTTTGAGTTTAATTAAATTGATTGACTTACAAAAGTGTAAAATTTTATATGTTAATAATCAGGGCTGGCAAAATCTGATTTTGACTTACTTGTCCGTTTTTATGTGAAGCATTTTTTAACTTGTCCATATGATATTTGCATAGTTAATTCTTGAAAATTTTCACTTGTCTGTACAGGCTGTGGAACAACCTGGGCAATACAGACAATTGATTTTGCCGGCCCTGTTTAGTGTTAATATTAAATTAGGCAAAGCCTAAGAACGGGGAAGTTGGTTAAAATAATTGTTCATTTTTCATTTTAAGGTGTCATTCGATTATTATTGATCCGAAAAGTTGCGATTGTTTGTAATCAGATTACCGCACCTATTATCTGTTATCATTGCGTTACATTGAAAATGGTGGCGCCCGACTATATATAGAACTGACACTGAAAATTTTATTGATATAGAATTCTATACTGGTCAGGGACCATCAACCGGACACTTTTTGAACATTTTTCTATGCAAATTTCATAATTTTAAAGCTAAAGGTACGAAAATTTGACACAGTACAGCTAGGTTCTTCTCCTAACTAACAAACTAGTTAGTTCTGATTATGTTGACACTTATATCCGAGGCCCGTCAAGGAGGGTATCAAAATTACCTAAATTGTACATACTACAGTACCATGTGTCCGGACAGATATGTAATAATGTTGGTTTAATTCAGATAAAAGCTTTGGTGTTCTTTTTTTTATTTTTAACATGACACACAATATTTCAGCAGCAAATGCTGAAGTTTTGGATATTCTATTGTTTACTTTGCAAATAATTATTGCTGTTATATGAGGTCAGGCATTGCTTTCTTGACCCCCAAATTTCAACGTCAACATTCTTGAAATAGACATTAAAATATTACCATTTACGGAGGTTGAAATAAATTTATTTACCTAATTATAGAAGAAACATGCATTTATTGTTGATAAAAAAGTGACTGACAACCACTGAACAAAGAAAATTCTAAATCAAGCATTTTCGGGGCCGTCCGGGTTTGGTGGTTGTCCGGTTTTGGTGGTCCCCAACCAGTATATTATTCTTTAATTATTTTTAATTTAATTTTAATATAGACGTGTAGTCTTTAGCAGGGCAAGCCAAAGCCCGGGACAGCAAAGCTAGCCCCGCCTTAGAATTTCCCATATAATTTTTTTAACAGTTTTATCAAGAGAATAAACTGTGAAAAACGTAATTCATATATACTGGAATGCTAAGTGCCCTACATCAATTTGACATTATTCTGATAAACTGTCAAAAAATGACATTGTTATTTATAGATGTCTTGGCAGACTGTCTGAAAATGGGCGACTTAAATGATGGCGAAACGTTAAAGGGCGAATAATTTGTTAGATAATACAAGAACATCTTATGAAGTTCTAGTCAAATATTTCAAGTAGCAAAAGAAGTTAAATAAATATCTTTTTAACATCGTTAATCAAGATAAATAAATGAGATAATAGACAATTGAAAGGTTTTATTTTTGTTCACACTTGCCCAAAATCTCTAATTGATTCTACTTCCGTGTTTTGAAACTCCCGCGACCTATTTTGTTACTTGCGATTTGATTGGACAAAATGTGACAATATGAAAAGCGAAAATATCTTTTACGCGAAAAGAAATTTTTATAAAGTAATAAAATATATATACAAAGTCATTTAAAGATCAATTAGATAGCTTAATTGTGGTCGTTTGAATTTGATAGAATGCCTTCAGTAGTTAAAGTTCAGAACATGCTTACAAGACCTTAATCAGGAATTCACAAGCAAAATTCAGCAAAGAATACATCATGGATCTCGGTAAGCAAAATACAATAACAACACCGAAGGCATTACAGTAGCGAGGCCTCAAGTAAACACAGTCAGTGATTGTAGATATAGGACATGCAGACTCAACCACAGACAGTAACTTTCTACGGAATATAATTCAGTAAAAATCATGTCAGAATTTTGATCTAAAAGGCAGTTTAAAGTTTCACACAAATAAACTAAGATTCTAATGAAATATGAAACTGCATGGAAAACTTACTCAAATGGTATGTAATTATAAATGACAATGTTCTGCCAGACAACATGATAGAATTGTTAATCTAAAATATCCCTTTTAACCCATCTTAGAGACGTGCAATAAGATGGGTTAAAAGGGATTACTCCCCTCATTCTAGTGTCACAGCCATGCAGGAAGAACTGGGCTGGCGATCCCTTGAACATCGCAGATTGGACTGTAAACTGATAATGTTTTATAAGATATACCATAACCTAGTTGCAATTAATCTCCCAACATATGTTCAAACCCCACATAGATTAACCAGACATATGCACCCCTTATCCCTACGTACGCCAAATACAGGTATCCTCCGACTACCATACCTACTCTTTCTTCCCTCATAGCATTATACTATGGAATAAATTTCCTAGTAACATTGCCACCCTTCCCAACTTGAGTCAGTTCAAACAGGCAGTGGTGGGTTTGCAGTACTAGTCTTACTCCCAGTGTTTTTAAACTATTTTATCTCTTATCATCTTGTTTCACTATTAACATTTTAACCATGACTAGAATACATTTTCAGTCTCACCTTCCAAGCATGTCAATGTTTGGAATTTTCTTTTTTACCTTTTCTTTTCACCTTTTACTAACAATCCGACGTGCACTAAATTCCTGCCTTTAACACTCGTAAGAGGGGTTGGCAGTATCCAGAGATAGATAGATAAATAAAAATGCTAACCTTGCATATTTCTAAGAAAAAGAAATAATACACAAACTCTTTCTTGTAAATTTAAAAAGAACGCTTGTTACGTACATTATAATTTGTGTTTCACAATATCCATTTAAAGTTAAAAGCCCAACACTTATCATTTCATTCAAGGTAAAGATAAGTTTACTTTGGATCATAAAATTGAATGTACGACTGAAAACATCCCCATATATCGACTCGATAAAAATTACACATACATCCGACTTTATATTATTCTAAAGGACACTGATTTGCTTTAATTTGTAGCTAATAATTCATGCATAAGCATTTTCAAGAGTAAAATCTGGTTAGGTAGGTGATAAAACTTATCTTGCCATACATTTCTCTAAGCAGGGGAAAAGAGAAAATATCTAATAAAACCATATTACATGTGATAGGTCTAATTTAATAGTTAAAGGTCAAATAATTTAAATGGATATATAAAAACGGTACTAGATAAGATGTAGTCCAACTAATTGTACTGCAAGACGATATATTGTGATATTTTGTATCTGGACAATATTTCGCCTCTAAAAGCGAGATTCTGACCCAGAACGAAAATATCTCGGAATCTGGCTTTGGCACATCAATATATTTTGACTAGCGAATAGTCACGGTAGTCATATGCACGTGTATCTTTGGACTTGTTCAATTTTATATATTTATGTTTGATTACAGCTTTATATTGATCTAAAGAATTTTCATTATCCGTCTTGTCATGCAACAAATGCTTTTTGGTCGTAGACAGTGTTTGTTCTTTGCGACTATTGGTGTGATTTAACGAAAAAAGTCCTTTTCGCTTTTAGATGTCACCTCCTTTCGGTAATTAAACTTTTCGTGGTTGCTGCGTGCTTAGCAACCCACGTAAATACTCGCGGAAAAAATTGTGATATTTTCATTAAATCTGTTAATTTATTAATAAAAAACTTTTAACATTTATATAGTTTACACGGTCATATTATGGCAATGGAAGGTAAGCTTAATAAACGGTTTATAATGTCTAAATTGAAAGTTTTTTTGACAGATCATTTAACAGTTTAAATATCCTACCATTTTGCTAAACATCCCTTTCAGTTGCATTGTGCCTGGCATGATTCCCCTTAATCTCTGAATTTCATAAAAATTGAAATATTTTTTTCAGATATCTACGGATTAAGTAGGCCGCAATTTCAGCTTTGGTGCCGATTTGGTTTTGGGCCGAAATGTCCTGTTTCCGTATACTCAACGGAATTTGGGTTTCAGCTAATATTGCATTTTGATCTGCCAAATGCTAATAAATTTGCAGAAGTGGTAAATTATACAGTAGCATGCTACCTGTGAACTTGGCAGATTTACCTTCTATTATTTACTTTGATCATTGACATAAACTTTGGTGGACACCTGTATATTTAAGAAAAGATGCAACAATCATTACCAGTAAATTTAAGTAAGTCCATGAAAGCATATATCCATATTTAATTATTATAAATTCACAGAAATATTGAATACAAAGGTACCCAATGGCACTAACTCTATTTAGGCAGTGTCATTTCAAGAGATATAAGTTTTAATAGTAAATCATTTTAATATATTTTTTTTAATTCAATGCTTCCTCAAAGACGAATGTGTTTTATTAAATTTGACACAATCTGCAGAACACTTGAGTGTTTTGCATGGACATGAAAATAAAGAAGGTATAAGAATATTGTAACATGTTGTTGACATTTGTTGTATATGCTTTTTATTTCTTTATTTTATATTTAAAAAGAAAGCAAAACATTTAATCAGAAAATATGATCACTTTTTCATCAGAGAATTTGAAGATTCATTACTAATAATATTATTTTTATCAACCATTTTTTTGTTGGAATCAAACAACATGATAAGCTGTAATGAAATTAAAGGAACATAATGGTAAGGTGAAGGCTGTTCAAAACCTTCATCAGTATATACATGAGAGGAAGAGATACGTGCATCTAATATCAAGCTAAGTAGAAGATTTGAAAGGATCAAATCCAATTATGTGCAAATTCAGCTGGCACTAAAAATAATATTAATTATCAGAAATCTTTTGTGAAAATTAAGCTGACATCAAATTTTTATTTAAAAATTCTCAAGGATCAAATTATTTCAAGCGTAAACATAGATCTGTGAATTTTTTTTTAAAAAGTCAAAGTTCCAACTTTTTCCCAGTTGCCCCTTTTCCCCAATCACAGTGGCCGGTGCATTTTGAAGTAATTAAATAAGACCTTTTAATTTGAAGTAAAAATTGCAACAGGTACTATTTTTCAGTTGTTGACTGTTTGTTTTTTAACACACCATACATCTGTGTCTTAGCACGATTGTGTAGGTTTCTTTAGCTTTCTGTGATTCAGTTATTTAAATACATGTATCATTTAGTATGCTATCAATGTGTTTTTAATTATTTTTTTTTACTCGAGAAAGATTTTAGCCTAGTTTTATTGTATGTTTTGTAAGATTTAACAAGAATGTTTATTTTTCTTCAGTCGACTCATTTGGTAATTATTTCTGAATCTTTATATAATGCACACTTTTAAATCTTTCACTATTTGTTTAAATCTGCACCCTTTCAGATCCACAACTATTTCCTCACTAACAACACGTTTTTCATTTTCAAGGCTAAAGCCTTATTTATGCCTCCTTCAAATAAGCAGAATATGTCTATATTTTAATAACTTATACAACTTTTCCAGCAATAACAACTAGTGCACTTGAAACGGAAAATTATGCAAATAGATAAAATATAAATATACATGTACTAGGTGTTCAATTAAAATCACTTTGTATGCGATATATTTTGCCAGATTTGAGTGAAAAGTGTTGCAACACTTTCAATTTGCCCAACAAAATTGGTTTTCTCTAGGAAAGTAAGTGGTCTAGACCAGCACATCCAGTCTAACAAAAATTTTGAAAAAATGTTTCTAATCCCATCATGTTAAAAAACCTCAGTGGAGTCCCTTTAAGAAACTCTTGTTGATTTGAAAGAGCCATTATTTCTACCTAATTGAGATTTCAGTGGAAAAAAAGTTTTTTTTCCCCCGACATTTTTACATACTGGTAGCTACTGTTTTCCACCAAGTACACACAGGGGTGCAACTTGGTTAAAACAATTTTTTTAAAACTCTGGATTGCATTTTTGCTTATAAGTGAATATACGTTATATATAGATTTTAGCATTTACATAATGTAGAAAAAATAAATGTTTTCATGGGGATTATAAACAAGTTTTATAGTTTACTTTTCCGAGAGAAAAAAAAACAAAAAAAACAAAACAACAAATCCCAAACAATAAATTTTGTTAAGGGTGTAGATACCTAGAAGCCAAGGTCTATAAAAAGTTACACCTCTTACAAAATTTATTGCTGACAAATTACTAGATTGTTTATTTGCTGTAATTCACTTGTTTTCTTCTACCTCAGTGTGTTATTTACAGCAATTTTACATTCAAATCTCATAATTATTTAGTGTGTTTCTGTACTGTACACTGTTCTGTTTTCAGTATTTTTGTTGTTTTTATTCTATTCACTAGTGCTATTACTAATATATCACTATACTGTTGTGTGTTTGTAGTGGATGCTTTTTCTATAGCTCATAGATATACTAACTCTACACAAGAAATAAATGACTTAGCTAGATGCCAAAAAGAACCTGCAGGTAAATTAATTGCTCATATCAGATCTAACAATTTTCTTCTGTAGAATCCCTATCTATTCTCATTCATGTATAGATATCTGGTGTTACTTTGTTGCTCATTATATTGAGGTCCAACTTGTTGAGAAGTTTCATACACGCTTCCATTTAGTATGGTGCTTCACAAACATGAAGCACTTTCACAGTACAGAGAATCATGTGGACATATTTAATTTTTACACTATAATGTACTTTGTGAAAAAGGGGCAGATGTGTACACCAGCTAATGTCACTGAAGAAAGCTAATGTGTACTGTTTGTAAATCATCATCGGGACTTAAAAGTCCAAAAGCATAAAAACATAAAGTTTGAAAATCATACTGTGATCAACTGGGCATTTTAAAGTGAAAAAAAAAATGATAAAAGGTTAAAAAGAGCAAGTAAAATAATGCTTCCATCTAAAATAGGACAAGTTAGTAAAAAGGAATTTGCAGGTCTTCTGACTGAAGGTATAACAGGTTTTGATATCATATTTCATAATTTGGAGATCACAATTCAAAGTCCATTAAACCCTAGCATGGACTTTGGCTGAGTTGTAGCCCTTTGTGAGCTGCAAGTTAAAGTATTGTGTATAAGATCAATATCAAGTACTGAAGTTACTTTATTCACTTGAAACTTCACACATAACTGAAGTTGCCTATCCAAGAACCATAACTCTAGCATAAAGTTTGACTGAATTATTCCCTGTTTAATTTGAAAACTTAAAAAAAATCATGGGTAACGTTTTCTTGCCTGAAAAAATACACAGAAATTATCCACTTTAGACTGAAGATCATTTTACAACAACTATAACTTAGACTTTGATTTTTACAGAATTATTGCCCTTGGTGAAAGAACTTTGCTGGGTAAAGTTTTGTACACTAAAACTGCTGAAGATAATTATTTTAAACTTCAAACATGTCATTGTGATTCACCATTCAAGACAGATAATCCTAACATAATTCATTTGAATCTTCACTTTACAGAATATCTTGTTTAATATCACTTGCTCATAAATCTGGCATGGATTTTGGCTGAATTACAGCCCTTTGTAAATTTAGGAAATTACTGGTGCAAGGCAGTATTCACCCTAACAGAATATGATATTCACATAAAAATTTGCATTTGTCTTATGATTGTTATTTTTAGGTTGATAAAAAAGACCCATAACTCTGGCATGGATTTTGACTAAATTATTGCCCTTTGTAATCTTAGAAAATTATAACTCTGTCTTGGATTTTAATGAAACTCTCCTATTTGTCAATTCATATTTTATCCAAGTTCTTGCTCTGATAATACTCAAGCTTACTGTCATTCTGGCAGCTCTTGTTATTGATATTCGATCAGCACAGTTAAACCTACATCTATTCATTAGTTATTATGTCATTATTTCCTACTTAAATTAAACACAAGATTTTAGGCATTTAGTATGGTGTAAAGAGTAATAAAAAATTCTGAATGTTACAAATTTAGTTGTTTTTTTTTTTTATTAATTTTTGGTAAACATCTGCCCTTTTTTTAAATTCATTATTTCATGTAATATGATTCATGTCAAATTAAAATAGCCATCATTTTGTTTATAATTTTAGATCGCAATCATAACTGTAATCATCATAGTTATTTGGCTTGAAATTATGTTGACGTAATCGTTTGCTATGCTGTTAGTATTAATAGTTTAGTTAAATCTTGCTTCACATTCATATATAACATTTTGAGTGTTTACTCATGAAATAAGATGAGGGTTTTGAAGAGTTTTGAGCAAAATATGACATTTGTTGTTGTTTCTTTTTCAGTGGAAAAGGGGCCAAAGGTGTCATTTATGACTACCTTAGACAGGGAATTGTTCCCTGTAAAAATGCCCCAGAACAGGTTTGGAAATGAGATCTGCCCACTGAGAGGGGCTCCACACAGAGGTCCAGGCTGCTATGAGAATGAAGAGGTATATTTTAAGCTTTTGACTCCCAAAATATTTTTTTCTTCATAAATAAATCAGGATTGTTTTTTTTCCCAAACATACATGTCTCCATCCCTTTACTTGTGATACGTAAAAGACTCCTGTTCAAATAATGCATGCCAAAATACACCAATTTACAACCACAGGGACTGCACCTGACTGTACAAGTTGGTACTTCCAAATACTGCGAAAAGAAGTCACATACTTATACTTAATATTGGCAACATATTTTTTTTTTTTTCAGAAAACAAATTTTTGGTATGAAATTGAACACAAGATCAACTCCAGCAAAGGTTACACTTTGGGAGCAAGAACAGGTCCAAGACTTCCCAAAGATAACATAGTAAGTTAATGAGGCACTGAGGCCATATCTAAATATTTTGCTTTTTATTTTTGCTTACTAAATAAGCTTGAATAATAATGACAGTTTTCATATTTTCAACCTTAAGTCTGCAATTGCAGCAACTGACTACCCATGTGACCAGTGCAGACCAAGATCAGCTGGCACATGTATACATGTTGCCTGATCATGGTTTGCACTGTTTGCAAAGTCAGTTACATACATTGTACATGTAATTTGGTATTTTCCTTGAATCAAATGAATGATTTTGTCCAGATTGAAAGATGGATTAGTCAATTTAAGACATTCAGCTTGTATTTATACAGTATACTAGTAATTATCTTTGTACTTTAAAATCTTACAGATGGACTAGAAAATAGAACAACCCTTGGAATAAATAAGAGACCACTCTGTGCTTAAGAAGTTAGGACTATGACTTAATCTTTTTCAAGCACTTGTTTTGAATTTTAAAGTATTTAAAGGAGGAGAATGTAGCATTTATGACAAAAACTTTGATGTAATTGGAAATATACATTTGCTTGAATTAAAAGCCTTATCAATAGCTGCGAACTAGATTATTAGAAAAAACTGATCACAACTTTTTGAAACATATGTTAATTGTATTGTCGTTTAAATACTTTGAAGATGATCATCTTTTATTACAGGGAACTTTTTTCAAAAGTAATACGAATCCTGAACTACGGGACTCTGATATGAAATTAAATGTTTTACAAAGGGCAAATACTACTATAGGGGTAACAAACTGCACACAAAAAAGCATGCACAATATCTGGGCAGGTGTTTCATAATGCTCTGATTTTCATATGTCACTAAGGCTAATATAAAGTAATGTTTAAGCTTAAACATGCACATCTTGTAACCTTAGTGCAGTAATGGGTTAACTTTAATAGGAATTAACTTGTTACTGCAGTATAAAGGTTATGAAATTATTATGTGCAGTCTTCTGGCAGTATGTATGATTTCAGTATTTTGAAATGAAACCCCTTCATTTAATAAGGGGCGTCCGTGGCCAAGTGGTTAAGGTTGTTAACTTCAAACCACTTGCCCCTCACCGCTGTGGGTTCGAATCCCGACAGGGACTTGGATTCTTTCATATGAGGAAGCTAGCTTACGGAACATCAGTGGTTCTACTCAGGTGCCCGTTTGTGCCGGAAATAATGCACTGAGGGGCACCTGAGGTCTTCCGCCACCAGTAAAGCTGGAACGTCGCGATTTGACCTATACTGTGTCGATGTGACATAAAACCCAATCAAACAAACAAATTTTTAATAATGTAGAATTCCTGATTCAAAAAAGGGAGATTCCATTGCACAAATTTAGGATAGTAAAATTAATTATCACCTAAAATTATCATATCTGGAATATAATTAGCTTTCAGCACAATTATTCTGGAAGTAAATGGGACATAAGAAGCATGAGTTTAAAAAAAGATTTCTTTCTAGCACTGGCTTTGGAATTGGAAATTTTTGAATGCTGTGATTTGAGAATTTATTGCATGACCAATTTTGTTGTTCACACATGTATTAAATTGGGTGCATTGTTTATTATACATGTATATGACAGCCTTTGTAAAAGAGTCAAGGGTATTTATTAATATGGAAAAACTTGTTTTTGACAACCAGTCTAGGTAGGTAGTGGGAACATGGATTATATGTTAACCAGTCTTAAGGTAGTGGAAAAATTGTATATATATGTTAACATTTAGTCAACAGGGTGTGTATAATAAGTAAACCATTCTAGGGTAGTGGGAGCATTGTATATATAGATATAAATCTCTATTAATAAAAGGTTTTAAGTGAATTATTATGATTTGTGTTTGCAGTATCATTCTGTTTTTTAATGAAATATTTTTCATATAAATTTTAACTGACCTTAACCATACATAATATTATTGAAGTTTCAAGTAATAAAACTGTTTATCATTATGTTTACAGTTCCAAACACCTAGTCCAACAACTTATCAGACAAAATGTACAGACCTAATGGAGTTTGATAGGTCCAAGAAACCTTTCTTAGTTGGTGCTGATAGATTCCCAGTTTACAGAAGAGATATAAATGAAGTATTACCAGGGTAAGTGTCAGACATATTTAAAAACAAAAACAAAAAAAACCCCACTAAAATATGTGTGTGTTGAAGCCAAAGCTAAACTACTGCAGCAAAAACTGCAAAGCTTTTGTCACACTAGTAATTAGAGCCTGTCCAGCTGCCATGTATGTTTGTATGTAGTCTATATTAAATGAGGGTCCATCCTCCCAGTAAGGGACAAAAAACAGCTTTTGCTGTTGAGTACAGACCCCGGACATGTTGCCAGTTATGCCCTTATCGCTTTATTTTGAAGCACAAGGTGATGATAATTTACCTTTATGCAATTTCCACGGAGTATTAGCCAAAGATATGAATTTTGAGCCAAAAGTATGTCACTGTATGGCAGTCAATGAGAACCTAAATGTACAATAACCTGAGATAATAATAAAAGAAGGCCTTAAAAGGTGCCAAAGATGAGATGTGAATCATGGTCAGCCTGCAAAATCACAAAGAATATTTATATTATTAAGATGAAAGCTGGACAAATCGGATCCATTGAAGCATTATTTAGCAACTTAAACAATCAAAGTAGTTTGCTTTAATCTAATTTAATAGATTAAATTTAATAGACTTCAGTATTGTGTTTTGGAAGTTGATTTTGATTTTAGGTGCATAATGATAAGATATATTGTATGGTTTCTGGGTAACAGAAATGTGTATGTATGTAACATATATATGATAGAGGAATGATTTATTATATTTGTTTTATTATGCAGACCAGGGGTTTACGAGCATGATATAAGAAGAAACAGACGCGTACAGTGGCACCAATCATTTGGGGGTACCCCAATTGCCATGCCTACTATACAGGTCCGCAGTATTATTGACCAGAACACAGAAAAGGTATTTGACTATTCATATGATTTAAATACTTCTTATATATTCTCTTTTATTAGTTTAGGGAGAGGCTGTGCTTTCACCATGACTATTTGAAGAATAGGGAGAGCTATTATGTACCAAGGCATCAGCATTGAGCTGTCGCCATCACCCTTTGGTTGCAAGTTGTTTTCTCCAAAACTACCCGAGTAAATGGGTTGAAACTTTTCAAATTTGCTCTCTATCATTATTAAAGGTCCCATAACTCAAGTTACCTTTTTTCTTACCACCAAGCATTGAGAATGGCCGAGCTTGCTGTCTTATGGACAACTCTTATTAGTCATATTATTATCACTGTCAAGGTTTAAGGGGACTGTACGTTAACTGGTTGGGGAAAATTAGGGTTTTTTAAAAAATCAAACACAATTACACCCAATAAAAATATTGTTTAAAAAAGTATCCCTAATGTGGGAGTATTCACTTTTTTTCATATCATATAATACATGGGGGCAATTTTGATGGGAAATTAATACAAAAAAACAATCACTGAAAAATGAAAACAAAAATAAAATTTATAAAAATTTAAAATTTTAAGTTTATTTAAATATTATAAATGAATGTGAGCTTTTTTCACTGGTTCTTTTGGTGGCAAAAGGTTTAAAAAAAGAAAAACCCAATATACCTAAATACCCCTGATATTTGCAAGCTTAAAATATACATGAACCTTTTGGAGAGCTGCCCTCAAAAGGGGCAGTCACCTTTTACCCAAAAAAATCGTTTTTTATTCACAATAAAATTTTAAACCTCTGTAGAGTAACACGTCTGAGCAGCAACCAAAATCTATGTCTTTCAAAGGGTGATGCTTTACCGAGGTTTTACTGTATAACATTAAAAAATTTCTGTATTATAGCTAACCATTGATCATAGTATAGAAAGAAGAAAAGGTTATTAAGTAAAAAAACTTTACTACGCTCAATTTGACATTTTAATGAATAAAATCCAAAATTTTTCAACCGTTTTCCTAAAACATGTAATTTTTCATTTCTTTTCAGCTTTACAGCACAAAAGAAGAAAAGAAATACAACAGAAAATTGGCATATATGAAGTTGTACTATGAATGAACTGTGATATTTTGTTATGATTTAAATATGCCTATTTTATTAAAAATATAAAAATATTACATAATATTAGTGTTTTATATGAAATATACATAATAAGAACTAACTCCATTTTGTAGTTATTCTGAAAATAGTTTGATAAATTGATAGAAGAAATATTGCAATCTGGAGGAGAATTGGAAGGTGTATTACAAGTGACGTAATATATTGAAATGAATAAATCATTTTTGACACAAATTCTTAGTGGATTCTATAAGCCTATTGTACACTCTCCTTTTTTCCCGATCACTTCCTAAGAGAAATAAATGCATCTTTTTTCAATGAACAAGTTTAGTTAACCATTTACCAATAATGCAAAGTCAATGCTATTGTTTTGATATGCCTTTTCCATTGTTGTTGTATGTTTTTGTTTTGTCTTTAAACCTTTTTTTATTGCCCTACTGCTCATGAAGTAGGGGGATATAGATTTGCCCTTGTCCGTTATGCTGTCTGTGTCAGCATGCATCATTTTTTTACGGGGGCTTTCTAGTATTATTAAAAGAATTTGAAAAATTAATTTAATTTTTAAAACAAAAACCCAATTTTTGAAAAAGTCACTTTTTTTTCAAGAAGTTTAGATTTAAAAGTTTTTATAAACATTTTAAAATTTGGTTGTACATCTGATATAAACTGCATGTTAATTTATTTTTTGAAAGTATTTTTTAATGATGCTTTTTACAGAGGTTTAAAATACATGTAAATTAAGAAATAAATCTGAAATCATATTAAAAATTGTTTACATTATATTTCTTGAGACCATTTATCCTTAACCCATTACTTCATGAGCATTTTGTGAAAAATGGCTGTTTTCATTGAAAAGTTTCCCGTTACAAGTTCAAATTGCTATAATACTATAAAAACTGCTTCAACACTTATCAAACTTGGCACAAATGTTGACTGGACCATTGCCCTTGCAACAAAATGCTCAGGCTTAAATTTTCTGTTACCATGGCAACGAGGGGACATCTCAAAATTGCCAAAAATCACTATTTTGCGTTGATTTTTTCCATCAAAATTAATTTCAAAGTGCTGCAACTTTTCAATGGATTGAGATAGAGTCAAATGCTTTTCAGCGTTGGTTACACGTTACCTTATGATCAATCTGGGGTCATTTACAGCCTGTCACAAGTCCAAAATTTTCTTGGCGATGAGGGGGACTCAGCCCCCCTTCAAACCCCCCAAACAGAAGGGGGCACATCCCCCTTCTGGCAACCCCCTGATGTATCTTTTGGTTGGGGGGCCGCGCCGAAAAAGAGGTCACTTTTTTTAACAACATTTCTCAAACAAAAACAAGTGTTTGGGGCCTAAATAAGGCTTTTTTTCATCATTTGAGACAACAAAAAGGGGGGGGGGGTGATAAAGGCGTTAAAAGGCGTGTATATGAAGTAATGGGTTAAATGACGAAAATTGAGAAAAATTTGTACAATTGCCCAACTGAAGCGCTGGCGAAATATTCTAAACATTTGTAATTTTAACATTGTCTTACGGAGCTAAATGGACACAGAATTCAACATGGAATGCTACTTAGAATTGTTATCTTTAGCCTTTAGTCTGCTAGTGGTAAAAAAGTCTACCAATGGAACCATTGTTGACATTGATGCCATCTGATCATGGTTTGCAGTGTTTACGATCCTGTCGGTAAATACTTTGAATCTTTGCTAAAATGATGAATGATTTTGTCCAGATTAAAAAAAATGGACATGTCTATGGAGGCAAGAGTTATTTTATATCAATTATTTCAATAAAAAGATGTAAATGAACAAGTGTTGTAAAATATCTGTCACCGTAGTGGAGGCATTTATATACCTGCTGCAGTACTGACAGCTGTCCACATAGAACATTCCTGCATAACACATGCTTTTCTACTGCATGGTGCATGCTTTTCTATCACTAGGAAAGCATAGAAAAAAGATGGATACAGGCACAAAAATATATTGCAGAATATAAAAAAGAATGTCATATTCATATTGTTGGTAGGACAAGAAAGGCAAACCCTGTATCTGTTAGCTTTGCTGGAAGGACAAGATTTAAAGGCAAATCTGTATTTGTATGCTTTGTTGGTGGGACAAGCTAGGCAAACCCTGTATCTGTTAGCTTTGCTGGTAGGACAAGGTAGGCAAACCCTTAACTGTTAGCTTTGTTGGTAGGATAAGAAAGACAAACCCTGTATGTGTTAGCTTTGCTGGAAGATCAAGAAAGGCAAACCCTGTATCTGTTAGCTTTGTTGGTAGGACGAGAAAGACAAACCCTGTATCTGTTAGCTTTGCTGGAAGGTCAAGAAAGGCAAACCCTGTATCTGTTAGCTTTGTTGGTGGGACAAGAAAGGCAAACCCTGTATTTGTAAGCTTTGCTGTAAGGACAAGAAAGACAAGTCTGAATATCTATGCTTTGTTGGTGGGACAAGATAGGCAAACCCTTTATCTGTTTGCTTTATTGGTAGGACAAGAAAGACAAACACTGTATCTGTTAGCTTTGCTGGTAGGTCAAGAAAGGCAAACCCTGTATCTGTATGCTTTGTTTTTGAGACAAGATAGGCAAACTCTTTATCTTTTAGCTTTGTTGGTAGGACAAGAAGTCAAACCCTGTATCTGTTAGCTTTGCTGGAAGAACAAGAAAGACAAATCTGTATCTGTATGCTTTGTTGGTTGAACAAGATAGGCAAACCCTTTATCTGTTAGTTTTGTTGGTAGGACAAGAAAGGCAAACGCTGTACCTGTTAGCTTTGCTTGTAGGACAAGAAAGGTAAACCCTTATCTATAAAAGAAAGGCAAACCCTGTATCTGTAAGCTTTGCTGGTAGAACAAGAAAGGTAAACCCTTCTGTAAGCTTTGCTGGTAGGACAAGAAAGGTAAATCCTTATTTGTAAGCTTTGCTGATAGGACAAAGAAGGCAACTCCTGTTCCTGTAAAATATGATAAACAAGATCAACAAGGAAAGGCGGCGTTCAATGAACGCAACCCCCATATGACCCAGCAACAAGAACCAGTGGCAAGGAGCCAAGGCGGACCCCAAACAAAAACAGGACAGGGCAAAGACAGAGCACGGACAAGTTATGATAACTAATTTGTAACTGATTAGGAATTCAAAGAAAACAAATAAATGATTGAATAATAGGCCCACAAAGTCAAAGGGGAAAGGGACAGGAGACCGGGGGGAAGGGGGGGGGGGGTTAATCAAAGAAATAAAAACTAGGGGTAATGGGGAAGATACTTACCGTAGACGAGAAAACAACAAGGGACACAAGCAAAAGTGTCACCAAAACAGTATGAAACAACATAGACATACATCTGAGGAACACAGAGGGGCGCCGCCTTGGAACGGTCAGCAGCACAATAATGACTGCTGGGGAGTTTAAACCGGTTAATGGTGCACCAAACCTCACTCTTAGCCCCACCATGTTCCTATAAACGAGACAGTGTAAATAAAATGAATCCCCGGCAAATGAAATTCTAACAGTTGTCATGGTTACAAAAGGTAAATAAGTAAAACACTAAAATGATCATGTAGAAACATATAAAAGTAAACCCAATGACCATAACAAAAGTACTCAATGTCCTAAAGGAAGACAGAGCAACAAGAAAATTACCTACAAGGGCCCGACGAAGCAAGGCAGAAGACAAACATTAAGACAATTCAGTCCCAAAGGGCTTTAAGAACTATCCATCATAGAGTCTTCCACTTGGTCCGTCAGATATAATCAAAAGAGGAAAGCGTAGTGTCCAACTGTAAAAGGGTTGAACACTAAACATGCAGTATGTCTTAAAATAGTAGCTTTTAATAAAACGTTTAATGATTTTAGTAAAAACAGCAGAAAAATTACCATGACCCAAAATCTTACTAAGTTTGTAAATCACATCGCCATAAAAACCAGACTGGCTAATCCCTTGTCGCAGAAGAGTTTTTAAATCACTATTGAATTTAGAAATTAAATCAAAGTTACGATTGTAAAATTTAGTAAAATATTTCCGTAATTTATGATAGCGGTAGCCCTGTTTTAGAAGCTTGCTGGTAATAAAAATATTCCGCTCGTTGAAATCCTTTACGTTGCTACAAGCTCTAGCGAATCTTATTAACTGAGAAACATAAACCCCGTAAGATGTTGCATGCGGTTCGTCTGCATCTAAATATGGATAATTAACTATACAAAAGTCAAAGTCATCTCGTTTATCATAGATTTTCGTGTGAATAGAATTGTTGTTGATAGTTATATGAAGATCCAAAAATGATGTACTAAAATTTCAAGAGTGCGTAAGTTGTAGTTCATGCGGATAAATGTCAGACGCCATTTGATCAAAATAAGAATTATCTAAATTAAAAATATCATCAAGGTATCTTGAAGTGTTATTAAATGCGACTATAACATCATGTTGTTTATCTTTAGAGAGACTCAACATAAGGTCTCTTTCATAGCAGTACAAAAACAAATCAGCGACCAGGGCTGCACAATTAGTACCCATAGGAATTCCTATGATCTGTTTAAATAGGGTATTACCAAACCTGACATAAATGTTGTCTAAAAGAAAAGAGAGTGCTCTTCAAACCTCGTCACAGGTCCACATAGTATAATGTTTAACAATACAGTTAGTAAAAAAAAAGCTTTGTTAGAATTACATGCTAGAAAGGTAACTTTTTTCCCGTGCAAAAGTTTTCTGAATTAAGGAAATTAGTTTATCATTGATTAATTTATGTGGCAAAGTTGTATAAAGTGAAGAAAAATCGTATGTACTGACAGTTGAAGCTTGAAAGTTCTTAATTTTGAATTTATCCAAGATTTCACCAGAATTTTGAATTGACCAAAAGAGATGTTTGCCTGTGTTTTTATAGACTTTATCACAATATCTAATTAAGTTTTGCTGGAAGGACAAGAAAGGTTAACCCTCTATGAACTTAGTGGGTAGAACAGAGTACAAACCCGGTGTTGGGATAACTTTGCTAGGAAAAAAAGGAAACCCTGTAAATTGTGAAAGCTTTGTTGGTAGGACAAGAAAGGCAAACTCCTTTATCTGCTAGCTTTGTTGGTAAGACAAGAAGGCAAACCCTTTATCTGTAAGATTTGCTGGTAGGACAGAAGGCAAACCCTGCATCTGTTAGCTTTGTTGATAGGACAAGAAAGGCAAACCCTGTATCTGTTAGCTTTGCTGGTAGGACAAGAAAGGCAAACCCTGTATCTGTTAGCTTTGCTGGTAGGACAAGAAAGG